TTGGAACTGTTTGATGGATTCTACAGGTCACATTGTATAAGAAAATTTTTTTTTCGGGTCGATCTGAGACAATTTTTTTTCAAGCCTCAAAAAAAGGCAGTGTATAACCTTCCTTTTGTATCCGTAAATAATTTTTCCTTCATTACTTTCCTGTGCTCCTGATAAGACGATTTGTAAAGAAGTTAAGTATCAGGAGAAGATTAATGGAAAAGCTACCACAAACAAATTTTACACTTTCTGACGTTTCTGTGATCCTGATAGAGCAGAACAAAATACGCGCGAATTTATTTTAGGATAAATACACCCTCTTGCTTTCTTGTAATGTCAAGTTCGTATCAGGAGAGTAAAATGTGCGAGAAAATCAATATCTAAGAAGATGGTTTAGACTGTGTCCCTGCCTTCCTAATGATGAACACGCACATCATACGCGAGAACGGATTCAGGAACACATTTAACTTTAACACTTTCTTCCGTTTCTGTGATCCTGATACAATAAAAAAAGTCTGAAATACGTGGGAATGTATGCAAGAATCAATTTTATACCTTCTTGCTGTTCTGGGACCTCAATGCAACAATTTTTAACATTGACGTTCGTAGCAGGAGAGCCCCTTGTTCCTAATTCGAGGACTTTGTATCCGTGAATAGTTTTTCTTCCTTACTTTCCTGTGCTCCTGATACGACGATTTTTAAGGAAGTTAAGTATCAGGAGAACATCAATGAAAAAGCCACAACAAACAAATTTTACACGTTCTGACGTATCTGTGATCCTGATACAATAAAAAAAAGTCTGAAATACGTGGGAATCTTTGCAAGAATCAATTTTACACCCCAACGCAACAATTTTAACCATTGACGTTCGTAGCAGGAGAGCCCCTTGTTCCTAATTCCAGGACTTTTTTCCTGCCTTATTTTGTTGTGCTCTTGATAGAACAATTTTAAAGAAAGTTAAGTATCAGGAGAACATCAATGGAAAAGCTAGCACAAACAAATTTTACATGTTGTGACGTTTCTGTGATCCTGATAGAGCAGAACAAAATACGTTTAACAAGGCTCTTTACTGTGCTCCTAATACAACAAAGGAAAAGTTAGTGTCACGAGGTAGAATCCAGAACAAATTTTGCACTTTATTGGCATTTCTTTTCTTCAAAATCAACCCTCTCCGTCGAGAGGAAGGGCTCCACATGAAAATCGTCCATTAAAAATACCATCGCTTGTAGTCTCCCCTCCCCGTGTTTTAGAGGTACGTCGACTTTTCTACACCTGGTGCGCGAATTATACGACCAGGCGTCTTCAGGGGACGTCTTCAAACCGATGGGATCACAGGGAGACTCTGCAATTGCAAGCGCTAGTTAATCAACGTAGCCGAACGCCATAATTACCGCAGATCTGGTGCTTCTCGAACCACTCGCGATTTACCACCGACAGTTCGACCTCGACCAGGGACCACGTGCCGTTTTCGCCTCCGTCGAAGCTCAGCGTGAGGTTCGCGCTTTCGCACGAAAGAAAGACCAGCGAGGATCCGTTGTTGCACTCGCCCTCCACGTGCAGTTCATCCGGTGACGTGGGGAGCATCTGGATGAAGGAAGGGGGCGAGCGCGGGTTGTTTCGTACGAGATACACCTGGAAGTGTCGAGGGGTAGCTATGGCGGATAGTTTGGGTTACTCACATTGATTAGGACTTGCAGATTCATCTTCAAGCACGGCACGTCGTCTTCGTCGTAAACCGTTATGCGCCAGCCGCTTCCGGTGACATTTGCGCGACCGTAGTTGCGATAGACGAGTGGCTGGTGCGGTTCGCGTGAGGGGGTGGACGGCTGGTCAAAATCTGGATTGAAACTTTCTGTCACGTTGTTGTCTTTACCTGGGTGGTCTGGTGTTTCCCTCCAGGTAGTAGTAGTGGAGTTCGAAGCTGCCTCTTCCCATAGGTGAACAGTGGGGGTGGTTCCTTGGGCACTCACTGTTACATTCACATGCTGGACGTCGTCCTCACCTGGGTCGTCCGTCAGTTCCCTCCAGGTGGTAGCATTTGGACGATGAATAGTGCGGTGAGTGACATTCACGAAAGTCAACAGTTTTGTTGCATTCACATGCTGGGCGTCGTCCTCATCTGGGTCGTCCGTCAGTTCCCTCCAGGTGGTAGCATTTGGAAGATGAATAGTGGGGTGAGTGACATTCACGAAAGACAACAGTTCTGTTGCATTCACATGCTGGGCGCCGTCCTCACCTGTGCGGTTCGTCAGGTCCCACCAGGTGGTAGCATTTGGAAGGTGAACAGTGCGTGTTGTGACATTCACGAAAAAGACAACAGTTCTGTTGCATTCACATGCTGGGCGCCGTCGCTCAACCTGTTGGCGGTTCGTCAGGTCCCACCAGGTGGTAGCATTTGGAAGGTGAACAGTGCGTGTTTGTGAACATTCACCATGCTGGCGTGACTAACGGTTTCCGTGGAGTTATCTTGAACATGCGAAGAATGGTCATCAATGTTGCTTCCCAGGAGTAGTTTCCAGATGCCTCCGTTTCTTCCATTCGCTGTGAAATTAGCGGCTTTCGTGTTTGTCGGCCATACATTCTTCTTGTCCAGGCCTCGGGTTCCGGTCGTTTCTTGGCGTCACGGAAGTGCATAAGGCCCACTAAACAGCTTCTGAGTTAAACAACAATTTCTAATTACTTGAATAAACTTACACGCTTATCGCGAGCAACACGTAACGGCTTGCTGTGCAGGTCCTCATTCCGAGTGGGTGTCGTAGAAAACAAGCTGCTGATGAGATAAGTGCTCTCTGGGGAAATATCGTTAATTTGAAGCGCATGGGCGTGGAGGATTAAATTACCAGGACTTGAGGAAATTGTTTTGTTACCCACCATGGGAGGGGAGAGGAATACAACAGTTTTGGCATGCCATTCAACCGACCTTAAAGTTTTTTGAAAAATAAGCGGGAAGAATGTGAGCGCACAGCCTGGTGGTCATAACTCGAAATTTATGTGAAGCAAATTTATTTAATAGAATATACTATAAATCAGCATCGATAAATATACAATGCAACAAATAATAATCGATTTAGGGTAACTATATTTTGGTAATCGTTGTAGGCAGCGAGGAAATGTACAGGATGGGTCGAAAAGTTTGGCGGGGAACGTGTTCGCTCGATGCCGCCTTGGTGGCCGGTCAGTCCGTTTGCAGAGCCGAGGCGACAGGTTGCTCATCGTAGCTCCTACAAAGAAAAGGAAACATGACAAAATATAGATAAAAAAAGGAAGAAAAAAAAGGTTCATGGTCAAGTGTCAAAAGTTCTGAAAATCTTTTTTTTAGAGATCGTTTGGATTGCAAATTGCAATGCGTCAATTTTGATCTCTCAATGTTCAGGCTCAAGTCTCAAACTTTTGAAATCTTTTTAGAGAGCGCTTGGGTACAAATTGCATGCGTCAACTTTGATCTCTAAAACATTCAGGCTCATGGCTCAAAGTTCTGAAATCTTTTTAGAGTGCGCTTGGGTTCAAGCGTCAATTTTGATCTAAGGTTCAGGCTCAAGTCTCAAACTTTTGAAATCTTTTAGAGATCGCTTGGATGCAAATTGCATTGGTCAACTTTAAAACATTCGGGCTGAAGTCTCAAAGTTCTGAAATCTTTTTAGAGTACGCTTGAGTTCAAGCGTCAATTTTGATCTCTCAATGTTCAGGCTCAAGTCTCAAACTTTTGAAATCTTTTTAGAGAGCGCTTGGGTACAAATTGCATGCGTCAACTTTGATCTCTAAAACATTCAGGCTCATGGCTCAAAGTTCTGAAATCTTTTTAGAGAGCGCTTGGGTTCAAGCGTCAATTTTGAACGGTGTGAATTAATTTGAATTAACGTGAATTAATTAGAATTAACAAGAATTTAGGTGAATTAATTTGAATTAGCGCGAATTAATTCGTATTTACGTGAATTAACTTGAATTAACATTAGTTGACGTGAATGATTCTGAATTAACGTGAAATAATTTGAATTAAGGCGAGTTAATTTGAATTAAAGTGAATTAATTTGAATTACAATGAATTAATTTGATTTAATATATTATATTTTGGGTCTCAATAAGAATTAAAATCTCGATAGCTCTTCTTTAATTATGTACCTCTTCTATAATTGAATTAAACTCGATCAATACACATATTTTACCGTAATTACTCCCAAATTCGACATACTTTAAAAAATTATCCTTCTATACTTTAATTAAGACGTAATTAGGCGCCGAATAGTGGGGTAAAAATTACACTGTGTACAATTGAATTACATCCGATTGATTCACTCTCCAAAGTGGCAACTAATACCATTCTAACTTTAATTAAGCGTCAATTAGGCTCTCACCGTGGGGTTAAAGTTATACTTTGCACCTCTAAAGTAATTAAAATCGTGGTAGCCTTTTATGCAGCTTCTTAATTAAATTAAATTCGATTAATTTTACCGTAATTATTCGCAAATTGGCGACTATTTCACAACATTATCCTTCTATGCCTTAATTAGTATCAATTAGGCGACAAATCGTGTGGTCTTAAGTGCAATTGAATTAAATCAATTGTTTTTACCATAATTACCCGCAAATTAGCCCCTAATTCGACCTTTTTAAGGGATGCTTTTAGAAAATGCTCACGAAAAAACTGAAATTGTTCTGGCTTTCAGGTCCAAAGCTCTAACGTTGCCTTCGCGTACCAATAGAGCGAGTGAGAGGGGAAAATGAAAACAGAAGAAAACAAATTAGGCGAAACAAATTCAAAGTCAACGGAAAGGAATTAACGCGAAATTTAAAACTATAGTAACATACGGGGTGTTTCATTTTTTGTTACCGTGCAGCATTTGAGTGCTAGAAATCATTTGTTCAATACGATTATTATACAGGGTGCTGCAATTAATAATGCAAACCTCATTGAGCGTATTTGAGCTACGAATTTATTTCATGAGAGCCTTTCAATATACATGACTAAATTAGTATGTAACTGAACACCCTGTATAAGACTGATCCGAGCTGCAGTTGTTTGGCTTGCTACCGCAGGGAACGAAATTAATTTCGATTTTTCACGCACACACAGAACCCATAAAGCGAAGGTGGTTAACCAGACACTGTCGCTCAGGAAATGCCTCCCCATTAACCTCCACCGGCGAGCCGTCGACTGCTGGTGGTGGGCGAATGTAAATCAATAATACCGAGCGAAAAGCGTGAACGTATCATAGGCACGTTTCGGCTCATACTTACGGCCTTGATTGCGGCGTGCGATCCCTTTGCCGTCTATTTTTGAACCAATTCGACACTTGCGTCAGCGTGAGTCCCGTCCTTTTCGCGAGCGCCCTCTTCTCGTCGGGCGTCGGATACTTGTTGCGCGCGTAGCACTCCTTCAGGGCGTTCCTGCTGCGCTCCTTGAAACAGTAAACCGTCTCCTCCCCGTCCCAGATTGTCTTCGGCAGGGGGTACTTCTTGCGTAACCTGTACTTGTCTACCGCTCCTGTAAGGAAAGATCGCTGACGTGATTAACCCGACGTCGCTTTCACTCACCTAGTGGACGTCCCCGTATCTTTTCGGCTTCGTTGTAATGGGCGCGGAACCACAGGTTCTGCAGGTCGGTGTGCCAGCGCGGGTTAAACGAGTGCGATTCGAGTATGGCGTAGAGCTCGTGAAAGGACCCCCTGTGGAAGGCGACGACGGCGCGCGCCCTGAGGATGCTCTCGTTGCCTCTCAACAGCTCGGAGGGTGGCAGCGACCAAAGGAAGGTGGCGAGACGCTCGACGTCCCCCCGTTGATGTAGCGCCTCGCACATGCATTGTACCTACGTCACCGATAAGCCGTTAAATTCATCAATGAAACTGAGATAAAATACGTCTATCAATGAACAGTAAACTGAGATTATCGGCAGGTCGTTACAAATTGATTGATAAACACTTCCTTTCGATATTGTTTAAATAATGCATTGTTGTAATTGCTTCACTTTTAAGAGGCGATTATAATAACTGTCTCGTTTGCCTTTCTTTGGTCCGAATACAAAAACCCACAAAATTCCAATTTTTTGATTTTTTGAAATTTCAGAAACTTAAATTTGTAGGTCTTCAAATAGTCCCATCTGTTAATCCTACAATTCCAGGACACTTCGTAAAAAAACTCAATTTTTGGTTCCCTCCCTAAGACAAGATGCACAAAAATCCAAAAATTCCATTTTTTGAACTTTTAATACTTCAAACGATGCCTGCTATTTCCGTACCCTCTCATTTGTGACTCCTAAATTCTAAAAACATCAAAAGCTTTAGGTTAATATGACCCGGTTCTAGGCTTCCGTCATTCAAAAAACCTAAAAAGACGTCTGCTATTGACAACAAAAGATTTTGGGCCCGCAATAATTAAAAAATCCGAATTTAAGAGTTTAACAGACTTGGGATTATCAAACACTATCCATGGTATAGGATTTTAGGCATCCAAGATTCATAATTCTGAAATTTTAAGCTTCAAAGCTTGAGATTTTAAAAATTCGGAATTTCGAATTTGGGAGACTTCAAATAATTTAATTTTTTAAAATTTTAGGCTTCAAAAGTTGCCTCCGATTTTGAAATGCTCAGATGAGTATGTAATGAGAATAAAATAATTCGGAATTACGAATTTGGGAGACTTGAGAGAATCAAAGGTAAGTAGGTATGATAACTTTCGAGGTTCAAATAATCTAATTTTTTGAAATTTTAGGCTTTAAAAGTCGCCTCCGATTTTGAAATTCTCAGATGAATATATAATGTGAATAAAAATTTGAAGTTGCGAATTTGGGAGACTTGGGAGAATCACAGGTAATTATAATCACGTTTTAGACTTTCAAGGTCCTAATAATTTAATTTTTTGAAATTTTAGGCTTCAAAAGTTGCCTTCGATTTTGAAATTCTCAGATGAATATATAATGAAAATAAAAAATTCGGAATTGCGAATTTGGGAGACTTTTGAGAGAATCAAAGGTAATTATGAGAATGTCTTAGACTTTCAAGGTACAAATAATCTAATTTTTTGAAATTGTAGGCTTCAAAAGTCGCCTCCGATTTTGAAATGCTCAGATGAATATATAATGTGAATAAAAAATTCGAAGTTGCGAATTTGGGAGACTTGGGAGAATCAAAGGTAATTACGATAACGTTTTAGACTTTCAAGGTTCAAATAATATAATTGTTTGAAATTTTAGGCTTCAAAGGTGGCCTCCGATTTTGAAATTCTCAGGTGAGTATGTAATGAGAATAAAGAAAATCGGAATTACAAATTTGGGAGACATGGGAGAATCAAAGGTAATTATGAGAATGATTTAGACTTTCAAGGTTCAAATAATCTAATTTTTTTTAATTTTAGGCTTCAAAAGTTGCCTGCCATTTTGTAATTGTCAACTGAGCATCTAATGAGAATAAAAAATTCGTAATTGTGAATTGGGAGACTTGCGAGAATCAAAGGTAATTATAATTTTAGGTTTCAAAAGTCGCCTCCGTTTTTGAAATTCTCAGATAAATATGTAGTGAGAATAAAAAATTCGGAATTGCGAATTTGGGAGACTTGGGAGAATCAAAGGTAATTATGATACTGTTTTAGACTTTCAAGGTTCAAATAATTTAATTTTTTGAAATTTTAGGCTTCAAAAGTCGGCTCCGATTTTTAAATTCTCTGAAAAGTAAGTAATGAGAATAAAAAAATTCGGAATAACGAATTTGGACGGCGACTTAGGAGAATCAAAGGTAATTACGATAACGTTTTAGACATTTCAAGGTTCAAATAATCTAATTTTTTGAAATTGTAGGCTTCAAAAGTCGCCTCCGATTTTTAAATTCTCTGAAAAGTATGTAATAAGAATAAAAAAATTTGGAATTACTAATTTGGGCGACTTGGGAGAATCAAAGGTAATTATAATAACGTTTTAGACTTTCAAGGTTCAAACAATATAATTTTTTAAAATTTTAGGCTTCAAAGGTCGCCTCCGATTTTGAAATTCTCAGGTGAGTATGTAATGAGAATAAAGAAAATCGGAATTACAAATTTGGGAGACATGGGAGAATCAAAGGTAATTATGAGAATGATTTAGACTTTCAAGGTTCAAATAATCTAATTTTTTGAAATTTTAGGCTTCAAAAGTCGGCTCCGATTTTTAAATTCTCTGAAAAGTATGTAATAAGAATAAAAAAATTTGGAATTACTAATTTGGGCGACTTGGGAGAATCAAAGGTAATTATAATAACGTTTTAGACTTTCAAGGTTCAAACAATATAATTTTTTAAAATTTTAGGCTTCAAAGGTCGCCTCCGATTTTGAAATTCTCAGGTGAGTATGTAATGAGAATAAAGAAAATCGGAATTACAAATTTGGGAGACATGGGAGAATCAAAGGTAATTATGAGAATGATTTAGACTTTCAAGGTTCAAATAATCTAATTTTTTGAAATTTTAGGCTTCAAATCTTTTGAAATTTCAAAAGCATCTAATGAGAATAAAAAATTCGTAATTGTGAATTTGGGAGACTTGGGAGAATCAAAGGTAATTATAATAATGTTCTAGACTTTCAAAGTTCAATTAATCTAATTTTTTGAAATTTTAGGCTTCAAAAGTCGCCTCCGTTTTTGAAATTCTCAGATGAATATGTAGTGAAAATAAAAAATTCGGAATTGCGAATTTGGGAGACTTGCGAGAATCAAAGGTAATTATGATACTGTTTTAGACTTTCAAGGTTCAAATAATTTAATTTTTTGAAATTTTAAGCTTCAAAAGTCGGCTCCGATTGTTAAATTCTCTGAAAAGTATGTAATGAGAATAAAAAAATTCGGAATTACGAATTTGGGCGACTTAGGAGAATCAAAAACGTAATTACGATAACGTTTTAGACTTTTCAAGGTTCAAATAATCTAATTTTTTGAAATTTTAGGCTTCAAAAGTTGCCTCCGATGTTTAAATTCTCTGAAAAGTATGTAATGAGAATATCCAAATAATTGATTTTTTTTAATTTGGGGATCTTCGGTGATTTTGAACTTCTCAGTCACGTATTAAATAGTTTTTTGGATTTTTCTGAGGCCCCTGAATTTCCAGATTGAGGTTCTTTTGGTTTTCTTAAAAAAATAATTTTTGCCCACTATACTGGGCCGTTTGAGATTTCTAAATTCCTGAGACTAATTGAAAAATATGAGGTCTAGCATTTCGAAAATTTGATTTGGTAAATATCCGCGGTAAATTGCCGTAAGTGCTCGTAACGTCGATGTTATGAAAGAGATGAAATGCTAATTTTTAAAAGATTATTAATTTAAAACGAGTAAATGGGAAAGGTTCTCTTTATAATAAGTAATTATAAAAGCAATAATTTTACAAAATTAAAAATATTGAATCAATCAAGGAATTAATAAAAAAAACAATGAGCAAATCTCGGCATAAATAATCGCAATTGTAGTCACTTTTTAACGCCCACGCGAACAGATCGATTCAATTATCCGATCGCACATGGGAATTTCTGGTCGTAAACCATTCCCTCGATTTTGGGTTGAAAATTTTAGTGACAGCTCAATACATTTTGACAATGACAGAATTTCAACAAAAACCTTTTTTTTTTAATTTCTAAAAAATGATCCAGAATTTTCCAGAAATCGCAAAATGGCTTCCTAGCAAAAGGTGTTGCGCGATGTAAAATAATCTTAAGAAAGTAAAATATGTGTCGTCCGAACCTGAAACGGCAGAAAAGGGCGAAACGAGCTCGTAGAGATAATAAATCAGAAACACGTAACAATCCAAAAAGCAAAAAAAATCGGGTAGACCACCCGCCATATGCTCATTTGGCTTTGAACGCTATCCAACTTTCAACTCGTCCCCATTTGTCAAACAATTATTATTAATTCAGTGACAGTCAGTCGCATTATTTTAATGTCTCGAAAATATGAGCCGAGTATTTCCGTGGCCTGTTGTTGGATTCTCACTTTGCGAGTTGGAATCATTCCGCATTCCCCGTCAAACACCATCGATATTAATACCTACACCTTCAACCGAAGTTGCGATTGCTACCTGATGATGGGTCGAAAGTAGACAACGAAACGGGATGATTGCGAATCTTTTTACAGCAGATATAAAGTTGAAGATTCGTATCCAAAAATTAATACTTTAGAAGGAAGAAAAGCGATAGCACAGAATTAGCAACAGACAACCATGTGTGGTTTTTTTTTTGAGTTGCAAGAATGCAGTTTTATACAATTTTAATTGTTCTACCTACTCCAAACTTTTACAGTAGCACTAGATTAAGCCCTACATTTTAATAATTTGGCACAATACGGCACCATCCAAAAGTTAAAACAGCACAAAATTAGCAGCATATCGATGGACCTTTTTTGAGTTGCACTCTCAACAACAAATTTTCGACTTTTGCATCGGCGCGAGATTAGGCACCAAATTTTAATAATTTGGCACAATATAGCACTATCTAAACGTACGCGATTTTAAGTAGCACAAAATTAGCATTTTTTTAGTGGCAGCCTCATACAGTAAAACAAAATCTTTCTACTCCAAATTAAAGCGTTTGCTCCAAACGCTTAGCTTAGCACGAGGTTAAGCACCATATTTTGACACAATATGGCACGAGATATCGCACTATCCATGGCCGATTTAAAATAGCACAAAATCAGCAAAAGAGAACCCTGGCAATTAGTTGACCCTTTTTTCAGTTGCAGCTTCATACAATATAATAATTAAATTTGGATCTTGGATTTTGATCTTTGGAAGCCTACAACTAGTTTCAAGAACGCAGACGACTATTAAGGCCTCATATTAAAAAAATTGAATATTCCTAAAATTATTTTCAAAAATGAAGGCTACTCTTGACGAGGGGTTATTTTAGGGGACAAAGATTTCAATCATTGCCTAAGAGTTTGCTACCATTTCCCTTAATTTTCCCATTTGCCTTAACTTCCCCAACATTTCCTCTAGCTTCTTCCTCAGAATTTCCTCTTATTATCTATATTACCTAATAGCAGTACCTTGAAATTTCCACAAATTTCTCCGAATTAACGTGAAATGAGTAACGTTACTTTCTTATAGAAACCTTTTATTTCCTTAAAATTTCCTCATTTGTTTTAATTTTGTTAACCTCATTAAATGCTCATCAGAAAATTTGAAAATGGCCAGCGACTTTTGAAGCCTCAAATTTCAAAAATGAAATTATTTGAACCTTGAAATGTTATCATAATTACTTTTGATTCTTTCAAGCCTCCCAAATTCGTAATTCGGAATTTTTTAATTCTAATTACATCATCAGAGGAATTCAAAATGGCAGGCGACTTTTGAAGCCTTAAATTTGAAAGTATTGGATTATGTGAACCTTGAAATGTTATTATAATTACTTTTGATTTTCCTAAGTCTCCCAAATCCGTAATTCCTGTTTGCTGATGTAGTCAAAATGTGTGGCCTAATGGTAATAAGTTATAACAAAAATTCTATCAATCCCACTCGTTTACGCCAAATTTATTATTAGAAAACGAAAATTCCATATTCCTTACAAAATCAATATGAGTAAATTATACGCTAACTTAGGCTGTTGGAGTGAAATTTTGTGCCCTACTGAAAATAAAGTTGCCGCAAAAATTCTATCAATTCCACTACTTTACTCAGAATTTGTTACAAGAAAGTGTCTGTTTAAACAAAATCAGTCAAAAAAGCAGAAACATTTGGGGCACTACAAAAGTTACACCCTTCTCAATACAAACGGGGTTAATCAGTAAGACCGAATTTCTAATAAAATTCTTAATTTGAAAATAGCAAGGGGTGACTGTTGTATGTGCACTTGGAGGGTTGTTTGTAGACTATTTAAACGAAATCAGTCAAAAAAAGCAGATAGATTTGGAGGACTACAAAAGTTACACCCTTCTCAATACAAACGGGGTTAATCAGTAAGACCGAAATTCTAAAAAAGTTCTTAATTTGAAAATAGCAAGGGGTGACTTTTATATGTCCACTTGGAGGGTTGTTTGTAGACTATTTAAACAAAATCAGTCAAAAAAGCAGATACATTTGGGGCACTACTCAAGTTACACCCTTCTCAATACAAACGGGGTTAATCATCAGTAAGACCGAATTTCTAAAAAAAATTCTTAATTTGAAAATAGCAAGGGGTGACTTTTGTATGTGCACTTGGAGGGTTGTTTGTAGACTATTTAAACAAAATCAGTCAAAAAAGCAGATACATTTGGGGCACTACAAAAGTTACACCCTTCTCAATACAAACGGGGTTAATCAGTAAGACCGAATTTCTAAAAAAAATTCTTAATTTGAAAATAGCAGGGGGTGACTTTTCTATGTGCACTTGGAGGGTTGTTTGTAGACTATTTAAACAAAATCAGTCAAAGAAGCAGATAGATTTGGGGCACTACAAAAGTTACACCCTTCTCAATACAAACGGGGTTAATCAGTAAGACCGAATTTCTAAAAAAAATTCTTAATTTGAAAATAGCAAGGGGTGACTTTTGTATGTGCACTTGGAGGGTTGTTTGTAGACTATTTAAACAAAATCAGTCAAAAAAGCAGATAGATTTGGGGCACTACAAAAGTTACACCCTTCTCAATACAAACGGGGTTAATCGCAGTAAGACCGAATTTCTAAAAAAAATTCTTAATTTGAAAATAGCAAGGGGTGACTTTTGTATGTGCACTTGGAGGGTTGTCTGTAGAGTACTTAAACAAAATCACTCAAAAAACCCGATAGATTTTGGGCACTACAAAAATTACACCCTTCTTAATACAAACGGGGTTAATCAGTAAGACCGAATTTCTAAAAAAAATTCTTAATTTGAAAATAGCAAGGGGTGCCTTTTGTATGTGCACTTGGAGGGTTGTTTGTAGACTATTTAAATATAATCAGTCAAAAAAGCAGATAGATTTGGGGCACTACAAAAGTTACACCTTTCTCCATACAAACGGGGTTAATCAGTAAGACCGAATTTCTAAAAAAAATTCTTAATTTGAAAATAGCAAGGGGTGACTTTTGTATGTGCACTTGGAGGGTTGTTTGTAGACTATTTAAACGAAATCAGTCAAAAAAGCAGATAGATTTGGAGCACTACAAAAGTTACACCCTTCTCAATACAAACGGGGTTAATCAGTAAGACCGAATTTCTAAAAAAGTTCTTAATTTGAAAATAGCAAGGGTTGATTTTTATATGTCCCCTTGGAGGGTTGTTTGTAGACTATTTAAACAAAATCAGTCAAAAAAGCAGATACATTTGGGGCACTACAAAAGTTACACCCTTCTCAATACAAACGGGGTTAATCAGTAAGACCGAATTTCTAATAAAATTCTTAATTTGAAAATAGCAAGGGGTGACTGTTGTATGTGCACTTGGAGGGTTGTTTGTAGACTATTTAAACGAAATCAGTCAAAAAAAGCAGATAGATTTGGAGGACTACAAAAGTTACACCCTTCTCAATACAAACGGGGTTAATCAGTAAGACCGAAATTCTAAAAAAGTTCTTAATTTGAAAATAGCAAGGGGTGACTTTTGTATTTGCACTTGGAGGGTTGTTTGTAGACTATTTAAACAAAATCAGTCAAAAAAGCAGATACATTTGGGGCACTACAAAAGTTACACCCTTCTCAATACAAACGGGGTTAATCATCAGTAAGACCGAATTTCTAAAAAAAATTCTTAATTTGAAAATAGCAAGGGGTGACTTTTGTATGTGTACTTGGAGGGTTGTTTGTAGACTGTTTAAACAAAATCAGTCAAAAAGGCAGATAGATTTGGAGCACTACAAAAGTTACACCCTTCTCAATACAAACGGGGTTAATCAGTAAGACCGAATTTCTAAAAAAGTTCTTAATTTGAAAATAGCAAGGGTTGATTTTTATATGTCCACTTGGAGGGTTGTTTGTAGACTATTTAAACAAAATCAGTCAAAAAAGCAGATACATTTGGGGCACTACAAAAGTTACACCCTTCTCAATACAAACGGGGTTAATCATCAGTAAGACCGAATTTCTAAAAAAAATTCTTAATTTGAAAATAGCAAGGGGTGACTTTTGTATGTGTACTTGGAGGGTTGTTTGTAGACTGTTTAAACACAATCAGTCAAAAAGGCAGATAGATTTGGAGCACTACAAAAGTTACACCCTTCTCAATACAAACAGGGTTAATCAGTAAGACCGAATTTCTAATAAAATTCTTAATTTGAAAATAGCAAGGGGTGACTTTTATATGTCCACTTGGAGGGTTGTTTGTAGACTATTTAAACAAAATCAGTCAAAAAAGCAGATACATTTGGGGCACTACAAAAGTTACACCCTTCTCAATACAAACGCGATTAATCAGTAAGACCGAATTTCTAAAAAAAATTCTTAATTTGAAAATAGCAAGGGGTGACTTTTGTATGTGCACTTGGAGGGTTGTTTGTAGACTATTTAAACAAAATCGTCAAAAAAGCAGATAGATTTGGAGCACTACAAAAGTTACACCCTTCTCAATACAAACGGGGTTAATCAGTAAGACCGAATTTCTAAAAAAGTTCTTAATTTGAAAATAGCAAGGGTTGATTTTTATATGTCCCCTTGGAGGGTTGTTTGTAGACTATTTAAACAAAATCAGTCAAAAAAGCAGATACATTTGGGGCACTACAAAAGTTACACCCTTCTCAATACAAACGCGATTAATCAGTAAGACCGAATTTCTAAAAAAATTCTTAATTTGAAAATAGCAAGGGGTGACTTTTGTATGTGCACTTGGAGGGTTGTTTGTAGACTATTTAAACAAAATTAGTCAAAAAAGCAGATACATTTGGGGCACTACAAAAGTTACACCCTTCTCAATACAAACGGGGTTAATCAGTAAGACCGAATTTCTAAAAAAAATTCTTAATTTGAAAATAGCAAGGGGTGACTTTTGTATTTGCACTTGGAGGGTTGTTTGTAGACTATTTAAACAAAATCAGTCAAAAAAGCAGATACATTTGGGGCACTACAAAAGTTACACCCTTCTCAATACAAACGCGATTAATCAGTAAGACCGAATTTCTAAAAAAAAGTTCTTAATTTGAAAATAGCAAGGGGTGACTTTTGTATGTGCCCTTGGAGGGTTGTTTGTAGACTATTTAAACAAAATCAGTCAAAAAAGCAGATACATTTGGGGCACTACAAAAGGTACACCCTTCTCAATACAAACGGGGTTAATCAGTAAGACCGAATTTCTAATAAAATTCTTAATTTGAAAATAGCAAGGGGTGACTTTTGTATGTGTACTTGGAGGGTTGTTTGTAGACTATTTAAACAAAATCAGTCAAAAAAGCAGATACATTTGGGGAACTACAAAAGTTACACCCTTCTCAATACAAACGGGGTTAATCAGTAAGACCGAATTTAAAAAAAAATTCTTAATTTGAAAATAGCAAGGGGTGACTGTTGTATGTGCACTTGGAGGGTTGTTTGTAGACTATTTAAACGAAATCAGTCAAAAAAAGCAGATAGATTTGGAGCACTACAAAAGTTACACCCTTCTCAATACAAACGGGGTTAATCAGTAAGACCGAAATTCTAAAAAAGTTCTTAATTTGAAAATAGCAAGGGGTGACTGTTGTATGTGCACTTGGAGGGTTGTTTGTAGACTATTTAAACGAAATCAGTCAAAAAAAGCATCGGCCGAAAAACTCAGCAGCTTCTTCCCATATCCTTCCACGTTGTTTAAATGTATGCGATTATCCACCATCTTCTTCACAAAACACTCGCTCTTTCTGTCACTATCACCACCTTTTTTAATGAGGTCCTCTCCGATGACATTCTTGCAACCGTCGAACTCCTTCTTCTGGAAGCTCTTGTTGAGGTAGCTCTCGAACTCGAGCTTCTTGCCGTAAGCGCACACGCTCTCCCCGTAATAATTCGAATGGATCTGCGAAAATTGGGGCGAATTCGACGCGCTCGACGACGTCCGGTCGATTTCCATCTTTGTTTTGGTAAAAACAAAAACGCGCAAATTGCACTTATCGAGCCGATATTTCGTATTATGTGCAGGTACGAGAGGAGTTCATTTAATGATCCCGCTCTAAGCTGCGCTCTCGAAAGCGACGGGGCCCCGCCCACGTCGGCGCGACGCGCCAATGGGCGAGCGCGATCTCGGGTCGTCCTGGCAGCAACTCCGGCGTCCGTCCAATAAGGGGTTGCTTTAAATTCGAAATTGGGTTTCTTCCCCAAGGAAGAAAAAAAGAGGATTGGATGCGTTTGTCTATCGAAGGTTTCATTGACGTCGGATGACCGTGTAATGCTTTGTAAGTGCAAAGTTGGAGCGTGGGAAAGTGCTGACTGCTGATTGCGGTTGTTTTTGCGAATCGTAGAGACATGACATGACTAGGTGCCGGACATGAACTTTTATCTTCGATGTCAACGGACAGTCGAAATTTGTCAGCACTTTTTGCGTTGACTCATTCTCCCCTAGGTAAACAATAGGTATCTACGCCTATGGAAAATGTGCTTTTGTTTTTATTCATGTGTAGTAGCCCCCCCTTTTGCAAAAGAGTACCGGTCCTGGAAGTGCATAAACTTCCAGAGTTCCTGATAAATCTTAAGCCTAGCGTTCCAACACACCATTACTTTGGAAATGTGGGCGACAAACAGCACGAAAAACCTCTATTTGGGTTGAAAATTCCAAGACTGGCTTCTGAAGCTGTTACGGGTTAGTTCCGAATCGAGTTCCAAAGCCTACTCGCCTTTGGAACCAGATCCATTAAGTTAGCAACCAGCATTTACAGAAAAATGATCGACACTTTTTTTAGTGTAGAGTCTGACACAAGCCATTGAAACACCGATTCCGGTAGTCCATTTCGCCTGTCAGATTGGTTTAAATTTGCAATTTTTTCCATTTTCACAGGGAAACGGTTTTCCACTTGCCACGAAAAAACTAGTGTGGACACACGCCATTGAAACGCCGTTTCCGGCAGTCCATTTCGCCTGTTAGATTGGTTTAAATTTGCAATTTTTTCCATTTTCACAGGGAAACGATTTTCCACTTCCCAGGAAAAAACTAGTGTGGACACACGCCATTGAAACGCCGTTTCCGGCAGTCTATTTCGCCTGTTAGATTGGTTTAAATTTGCAATTTTTTCCATTTTCACAGGGAAACGATTTTCCACTTCCCAGGAAAAAACTAGTGTGGACACACGCCATTGAAACGCCGTTTCCGGCAGTCCATTTCGCCTGTTAGATTGGTTTAAATTTGCAATTTTTTCCATTTTCACAGGGAAACGGTTTTCCACTTGCCACAAAAAATTAGTGTGGACACACGCCATTGAAACGCCGTTTCCGGCAGTCCATTTCGCCTGTTAGATTGGTTTAAATTTGCAATTTTTTCCATTTTCACAAGGAAACGATTTTCCACTTGCCACAAAAAATTAGTGTGGACACACGCCATTGAAACGCCGTTTCCGGCAGTCCATTTCGCCTGTTAGATTGGTTTAAATTTGCAATTTTTTCCATTTTCACAGGGAAACGATTTTCCACTTGCCACAAAAAACTAGTGTGGACACACGCCATTGAAACGCCGTTTCCGGCAGTCCATTTCGCCTGTTAGATTGGTTTAAATTTGCAATTTTTTCCATTTTCACAGGAAACGATTTTCCACTTGCCACGAAAAAATTAGTGTGGACACACGCCATTGAAACGCCGTTTCCGGCAGTCCATTTCGCCTGTTAGATTGGTTTAAATTTGCAATTTTTTCCATTTTCACAAGGAAACGATTTTCCACTTGCCACAAAAAATTAGTGTGGACACACGCCATTGAAACGCCGTTTCCGGCAGTCCATTTCGCCTGTTAGATTGGTTTAAATTTGCACTTTTATCCATTTTCACAGAGAAACGATTTTCCACTTCCCACGAAAAAACTAGTGTGGACACACGCCATTGAAACACCGTTTCCGGCAGTCCATTTCGCCTGTTAGATTGGTTTAAATTTGCAATTTTTTCCATTTTCCATTTTCACAGTGTGGACACACGCCATTGAAACGCCGTTTCCGGCAGTCCATTTCGCCTGTTAGATTGGTTTAAATTTGCAATTTTTTCCATTTTCACAATGAAGCGATTTTCCACTTGCCACAAAATATTAGTGTGGACACACGCCATTAAAACGCCGTTTCCGGTAGTCCATTTCGCCTGTTAGATTGGTTTAAATTTGCAATTTTTTCCATTTTCACAGGAAAACGGTTTTCCACTTGCCACAAAAAATTAGTGAGGACACACGCAATTGAAACGCCGTTTCCGGCAGTCCATTTCGCCTGTTAGATTGGTTTAAATTTGCAATTTTTTCCATTTTCACAAGGAAACGATTTTCCACTTGCCACAAAAAATTAGTGTGGACACACGCCATTAAAACGCCGTTTCCGGCAGTCCATTTCGCCTGTTAGATTGGTTTAAATTTGCAATTTTTTCCATTTTCACAGGGAAACGGTTTTCCACTTGCCACAAAAAACTAGTGTGGACACACGCCATTGAAACGCCGTTTCCGGCAGTCCATTTCGCCTGTTAGATTGATTTAAATTTGCAATTTTTTCCATTTTCACAAGGAAACGATTTTCCACTTGCCACAAAAAATGAGTGTGGACACACGCCATTGAAACGCCGTTTCCGGCAGTCCATTTCGCCTGTTAGATTGGTTTAAATTTGCAATTTTTTCCATTTTCACAGGGAAACGGTTTTCCACTTGCCACAAAAAACTAGTGTGGACACACGCCATTGAAACGCCGTTTCCGGCAGTCCATTTCGCCTGTTAGATTGGTTTAAATTTGCAATTTTTTCCATTTTCACAAAGAAGCGATTTTTTTCCACTTGCCACAAAAAACTAGTGTGGACACACGCTATTGAAACTCCGTTTCCGGTAGTCCATTTCGCCTGTCAGATTGGTTTAAATTTGCAATTTTTTCCATTTTCACAGGGAAACGGTTTTCCACTTACCACGAAAAATTAGTGTGGACACACGCTATTGAAACTCCGTTTCCGGTTGTGCATTTCGCCTGTTAGATTGGTTTAAATTTGCAATTTTTTCCATTTTCACAGGGAAACGATTTTCCACTTACCACAAAAAATTAGTGTGGACACACGCCATTGAAACGCCGTTTCTGGTAGCCAATTTCGCCAATTACAAAAAGAAAGGATCCTATCAAAAGTATAATGCTGACACATTCCAGGGCTTCATGTTTTCCAGTGACTTATACAATTTAAACAAGAGAAAGTGTCCATTTTTCTCGTGTTTTTGAATCAGGAGAGCATAATCCATAATGCATGAGAAAGTCCTTGTCTATACGACTTCTGGTGATTCTGTTACTCAAAAGTTAATCATAAATGTCCGGGCAAGCAAACATTTTTGAAAGAAAAAAGTGTATCAGGAAAACATAAAACGGGAGAATGCGTTTTTATACCTACTGAATTATGTTTTTTGTACGTGAATGCACTCATTTTTTAAGGGTAATTTTACACGTTCTTGTGTATTTGAATCAGGTGAGCATAATGCCTTAGAAATTTGATAACAAATTTTTAGATTACGTAAAAATTGTTCTTGCGTTTCTATGGTTCTGATGTAAGTAACAATTTTTAGAGAGAGATTTGTATCAGGAGAAAAGGTGACCCTGAGACAATTAAAATTGAAAATGTAAGAAAGTTTTCTAAATAGAAAAGGACACCTCCTTGCGTGTCCGTGATTTGGAGAAACAACTTTTGTCGAAGAAATAATTTTGCACCAGGTGAACATAAAAGGTGAAGAGGTGTCTGGTAATAAATTTGTGACTTTCTTGAGGAGAGTCAATGAGTTTTTTCCCAAAAACCACGAGGATCTTGAGGATTTTGAAAATTTTAGGGGAAAAACGTAGCACCCTCTGTTGGGCGAGGGGGGGGGGCTGTGTAATCTCTCAAGAACAGGAAGATTGTACGACCCTTTTTCGTAAAAAAACATAAGAATCTCCAGGGCTTTGACGAATTTGAGGGAAAAGGTACCACCGGGGGGTATGGGAGGTATGAACCCCCCCCCCCCTCCACCGTTACGTGATAAAGTATTAAATACCTTAACCTTTTTATGCTTTTGATGCGACAACTTAGAAAAAAACGTCAAAGGTGTCTGTCAATAAGTTTTACAGAATCTCTTATGTAACGGGAAAAGTTGCACGAGAGAGGTGCGTTCATTTATAGCCCCCCCCCCCCCCCCCCCGCCTCCCATCAGCATAAAATTGAACCAATTTTTGTCTCTTATACAGTTCGCATTCGGAAACCAGACTTTTAATCCGACTCATATTCAATAGCACTCGTAGAAATCGATTGGCGAAGGTCTGACATGGCTGTATCTTCTCGTTCTCGAGACACGGACGGACAGACGGACGGACACATAAAAATTATACCAGGAAAATGTAATATATAAGTCAAAGGTGTCTGTCAATCAATTTTACAGCATCTATTATGTAACGGGAAAAGTTGCGCGAGAGGGGTGCGTTCATTTATAGCCCCCCTCCCCCCATTAGCCCAAAATTGAATCAACTTTTGTATCTTTTACAGCTCGCGTTCGGAATCCAGATTTTTAATCCGACTCATATTCAATAGCACTCGACCACTCGTAGAACTCGATTGGCGAAGGTCTGACATTGCCGTATCTTCTCGTTCTCGAGGCACGGACGGACAGACGGACGGACACATAAAAATTATATCAGGAGGAAAATGTAATATATAAGTCAAAGGTGTCTGTCAATAAATTTTACAGAATCTCTTATGTAACGGAGAAAGTTGTAGGAGAGGGGTGCATTCATTTATAGCCCCCCCCCCCCCCAATTAGCTCAAAACTGAACCAATTTTTGTATCTATTGTGCCTCAATTGTAAATTTATACTCACGGTTTGTGCCTTTTTGATTTTGAAATAATTCACAAAACCAAATAGGAGCCGGGTGAACTCTTAGCCCCCCCTCCCCCCCTTCAGCTTTTTAATATTTAATCGATGGCATTGCGTAGTACTTTCATTGCGCTTTTATGCTCATAATTTGCACCTTTTTAGTTTCGGAAATACACACTTTGAAACATCCCCTAAAATTAACCTTCAAAACCACGTCAGTTTGATTAAAAAAAATTAATTTGGAGGGGGGGAGGCTAAGTGAAATTTGCGAAATATTT